CTTCCAGGTGTACAAATGCTCACGTTCGAGTGGCTTTTACATAAAGAGTTAAATACACCTACACATTTAGTTTTAAAATGTGACCTCGTGCACTAGTGATTTTTCCCTTCTGTGTTCTATTTGGCACTATTATTAATGCAGGAAAATCAGTAACATTAGTCATCTTAAAAGGGTTATTACTCAAGATGATTTAAATTGTGAAAATGTCAGCGGTGCTTGCATGCTCCCTGCGAGAGATGCCGTGATTTACACTCTCTGACACCGCTCTGCTGCCGAGAAGAGCCAGGAAAAAGTAATGGCTTGGACTTTGTACTGATCAGAATTCAGGACGTGGCATCAGCAATAACGCGCCTTAAATGTCCCGGGATTTGCCAAGGTTTCGTGGGGCACGTCTCAGGGATGCAGCCACCTGCTGACGGGCACCCAAGGGCCGCCGTGCGTGCGGATGGACGGGTTTTGAGAGCAAAGGTGCGTCCAGAAAGCGTAGGGTTTTGTGTGTCTCCGTGGGTTAGGTCAGGGAATCTCATTTATAAAAACCTGGAGCTAGGCGAGATGCATCAGCAATAATGGGCCTGCTTCCCGAAGAGTAACTCAGCGGAGCTCTTCTGGACGGCCTCTTCATCCACCAGTCAATAAAGAAGCTCTTGCTGTTGGGTTTTTTATCATGGCGACTGCTCTTTATTCTGCGTATCTTCAGCTCTGGTGTTTTTATGATTTTGATCAATAATATTCTAGCATAAACACAATCTTATTCCTATTTCCTGGTTTTTCCCCAAATTCTCACAGGATATGCTTATGCTCAGCATGCCTTTATAAATTGCCCCCGAGGAGCGCAGTGAGGTTCGCCCACCGAGTTCGTCGGGTTTTCGTTGTGCCCGGTTGTGTATCAGGGTCACTAACCGCCATCCAGACCACCCAGCGCGTCGCCGAAGCACTGGGCTCCCCTTCCATCAAACGGCGGCGATTGGCCCATCTCTTAACAAAATCTTAATTAAGCCTGGTTTGAGGCAGCCGCTGGCCCCGGGGGTGGCAGGGGTATTGAAGTTGGGTGTGCGTCGCGGGGGGTGACCCTCCCCAGAACCCCTGGGCAGGGTGGGTCACCCTTGGGTGTCTCCGCAGATGAACACCTCTCTCCTGGGGAGCATCGGCATGCTGAACTCTGCGCCCCAGCTCCGCTGCATCAAAACCTACCAGGTGCCCCCCGTCCAGCCAGCCTCGCCCGGCTCCCACAACGCCCTCCGGCTGGCACGGCTCATCTGGACCTCCAACCGCAACGTCATCCTCATGGCTCACGACGGCAAGGAGCACCGCTTCATGGTCTAGGGTAAACCCCCCCGCTAGACACCCACTTCTCTTTCAGAGTCCCTCGCAATTCTCCCCCTCTCCGTCCCCGTGCTCCTCGTGCGGGATGCCCATGCGGCGCAGCGGAAGCGGGGATCGGTAGCACCGGTGGCACCCCTCGGCCAGCTCCGCGGCGGCAGGAATCCAACCCGGCCCCTTCCTCGCTGGATGTCGAGTTCACGCAGCAGCCCTCATTAAACACGTTTATTCCTTTGGAGACGCGCGCGGAATCTCGGTGTTTACCAAAAAGGCTCGTGTTTACATGTACTTTCTCCTCGTGACCACTGAATGACGGCGGGCGATGCATCTTAGAGCCGGGCACTCGGGGTTCTGGGCGAGGGGCCCGCTGCCTCGGGATGGAGAGGGGTTGAGTTTCGGGGGGTGGGTGCCCTGTGTTCTGATCCGAAGGGGATGTTTCCTCACACAAAGTCTCAGTTTTCAAGAGAATTGGAAGTGCTGCTGTGCCCAGTCACTGCTTGCTGTAGTCTGGAACAAAGAGTAATAGCCCAGGTGTAAATAAAAATGAAAAAAAATCCCTTTAAGATGGAATAGCAGACTTGACAGAAGGAGTATTTATATATCAAGGTGGGTTTGCTACCTGTGCAGGTATTTATTTAAAGAAAAAAAAAAAATGGTGAAAAGCTTTTTCTTCCTCCAGCCGCCCCTCTTGGTGCTGGGTGGCTGCGCCGGGGGACCGGCGGGGGGCAAATCTGGCTGGGGAGCTGCTGGGAAGGGTGACGGGGGGGTTGTTGGCATGGGTGACACCGAAACATTCTCTTCGGTCGGCGGGTTCCTCTGTAGCGCTAGCTGTGACCGTGCTTCCCTCTTCGTGCATATCCCATCTTGTGAAGTGTTTCATGGTGTGGAAGTGTGCTGGCTTGTGCTCACGGTAAAGAAAAGAAATCTCTGAAGTACTGTTTTATTTAAACATATTGATGTATATGTTTGTATAGCCTTTTCTTTGCCATTTTTGTCTGGGAAGCTCACTGAGCGAAGAAGGCGGTCTTTAGATAATGAAGTAAAAGCGGTACCTAGAGAACCTCCCCTTCCCCAAAAAGGAATAAATTCACTTTTAAAATGGCTTCTAAATATAAAAAGCATTGATTTATTATTTTTTTTTTTTAGGTGGTCTGTGTAGTGCATGGTACATGCCGGTGAGATTTACAGCCCAGAAGCTTACATATCTGTTTGCTGTTTTAAAATAACCTAAAAAACAAAATTAAGAAGCAAGGAATGAAGACCATTAGGAATGTTTAACACAAACTGCCGTGAGGTTTAATCTTCCCTCTGGCGGGAATGTAGCGTATAGCGGAGAGCTCTCCAGTAGAGTATCGGGGTCTCTTCTGAGGGAGCTACCGCAGCGTGCACGTGCGCGGCGTTTGTACAGGTATAGGCGCAACCTTGGGGAGGAAAAGGAAAACAGCAGGGGGATGGCTGCCGGAGAGCTGCCGTCCGGAGAGCGGAACGCCGGCATTGTCAGGGTAGGTGCAGAGGAGAGCGCTGAGGTGCCCCGTAAGCCTTCTCCCACCGGCACCCCAGCCGCTAGGTTACGGTAGATATCACATGTATATATACATATGTATATGTGTTTACTTTCAAAACAAAACGCGGCCCCGTAGGAACGCGGACTGTGCCCCTGCAGTGATTTCCCGTGCGGTATAGTGAACCACCATCCTGAATTATATTCTATGCATTAAAGTGTTTGTTTTAAGCTGGAAGCGTATCGGGTTTTCTCAAGCGCGGAAGAGCACTGGGCACTCTCCTGGCAGCCCTGGGCAGGGGCTCCCGTAGCGAGGGCTTGGTTTGCTGCCCAGCTGCCAACCCCCAAAACGTCTCCACCCGGCGCTGGGCAAGGGGCCAGCATGGGCTCGTGGCATCCCTGCCCGGCTGGCCGGTGCCTGTGTGCTGGTTAAACCCAGCCTGGTGACCCCGTTAAGCCCAGCCTGAGCTTCCGCCCCGCCTGGCGCGCTCGGCACTGCAGTGAAATGTGTGTTGTCATTCCGGCGTGAGCTTGTAGCACTTTATTGATTTGTTAGTGCTGTATGTGGACTTGTCCTTGTAAACGTAGAGACGTATGTGGCTTCGCTGGCAGTTTACAAGCAGAAGATGACACGATGAGACGCCTGTATGGAAACGTTGTGATGATGGAAGCCACCGCCTGCGGTGAATGGTTCAAGCGTCTGCCTCTCCAGCAACTTCCTGACGAATCCGCTCCCCGCCCTCCGTGTGTACGAAACTTCCCGGTGTAAATATGCTTGTGAAATAAAACTGGATTGTATTGAAGAGCCCTGGTTTCCTGGCGTCAGCCCGAGGGTGCGGAAGTGATTCCCCGTTGCTGGTTTACTGGTGAGGTCCCGTCCCCATTTAAGAAACTTCTTCCTTTTCAGCTGAAAATCGGCGTGAACGAGGGCAGCAGGA